TTACTTTATGACAAATTTAATTTTATCAAAACCTCAGTCAGATGCAGGTACGCACAGGTAGATGCAGGTACGCACAGGTAGATGCAGGTACGCACAGTCATATGCAGGTACGCACAATCTGGACCAGGACGCTCTTTAGGGAATGTTTTTCATTTAATGTTTCACTTCAGTGGCTATTTTGAAGGAGTGTCTAGACAAAGCCGACGATCTGATTCAAGTTGTTAGGAAATATATTTAGCTAGGCAATAAACGCGTCCAACTCACGGACATGCAATTATGTTCTTTAGTAAAAAATAGTGTGATTAGCAGAAAGATCGCTCGCTTGTCTCATAGATTGAAATCATGCGATTATAAAAATTTTTACTTTATGACAAATTTAATTTTATCAAAGTCTCAGTCAGATGCCGAGTCATCTCCGAGAGGCGAGAATTTAATCTCTAGTTCTTTTAACTACCTTTATTGTGCCAAAGTCTCTCACAACAAGATCAACGTGTTTTTTCCCCTTTTCTAATTACGAAATAAGTAAGCAGACACATCGCCTCTAAATTGCAGCCATCACAACAGCTTTAAAGATTTATCGTATTCAATATTTATTTATTTATCCATCTATTTAGGAGAATTAAGGATATTGAATATCAACGTGCAGTTTTTCTAAAAAGCAATTCGAATTATTGTATTGCAAAACGACGATAGGTTAGGAGCTTCTTAACTAATCAGACATCTTGCCAAGAGTGAAATAAAGTCACTATTTCAATTCCAGTTGTTGTCAGGTGTTGCGTTTGTACCCAGTTTCCTCCTGTTTAGTTGATTTGCTTAACCGTGGAAGATCTGGATTTAAGCCTAATGTCTTGTCAATCTCGTACCCAGACCTTAGTACAGAAGAGGTGCAGTTCACTAGGTATTGCGAACAAATGTTAAAGAATCAAACTAACATCAGCAATAACATCATCAACAACAACAACAAAAAGACATACCGGAACTAAGCAAACAAAAGTCAAAAAAATTGTAAGCGAATAGAATAGAGGTACTTTAACCGCAGTGATTGCTAAAGCGCCTAGCTAAGAACGGGGAAAACAACAAAATCCGAAGGATACTGGCTTCAGAATGAGGGTGGCTCTGGAAAGTAAAGCTATCTTGTCTGACTTGTCGTTATCTGACGTTTTGTTAACCTAAGCGAAGGTCCTTATTAGAGTCATGTGCGTCGCTAAAACTTGTAACAGCTCTCGTCGGGACTCCCTTCGTCTAAAAGATCACACTGCGCGAACTACTGTTACTTTTCGAGTTCAACATAAACTGTGTAACACAGAAGTGCTGATCTAAACAAACGCCTTGTACACGGGTGAATACTCAGAAAGACACACGAAGCTGTGAAAAACTGTCATTTTAATATCTCCTTTCAACATATATTCTACCTAACGTAACACTTTTCTTACATACTTATCTTACGAGGCCCTTTTTACACGTAATTTTTTTTTTCATATCAAACAATACCTGGCCTCCTTTTACGTTATCTCTACAGGGATAGCAAAAATGTAAAATTTAGCTTCCTTGCTTTATTTGTCAAATCTACAAAAAGCTCTTTTTCCAGAAATACTTAATATATTGTGGACGGACTCAACTTTACATATCATACAATGGTTATACAGCTGGTTAATAATCAGTGATAGATGTCTGTATCGCACTCCTGTACTACCAATAATACTGTTGCCGCAAGACGAAAGTTGTCCTTATTATATGATGTACGAAACACGATTTTCAACGAAACAAAAACAAAAAAAAAACATGGAAAACGGATAATTAAGTGAAAATTTGATTATTCCGCTTTCTTTCGAGTGAAGAATGCTTAAGTAGGGAACAAATATTAATGTCACAAGAGGGAGAGAGAGAAAAAAAATGAAACCATAATTTCAACATTGAGCGAATTATCGCCACGACGAGACAACTTTCGAGTCATTTTACAACACAGAAGTCAAACTTACACTGGCTTGGCCACAATTACATATACAAAACGACAACCGAAACTTCTCATACGTTCTTGGAGAACAAGAATTGTTTCTTATTGCTTCACCATAACGAAAAAAAAAAAAGTGGAATTGAGGCCAACACCGCCAGGGACGGAGGGCGCACGCGCCGCATTTCATCTGGATAAATAGAAGAGAATCTCCGCCAAATGGTTGGTAATTGTACTGTCCAGAACCCGCAAAACAGAAAGCCTTAAGATCCGCTGTTGAAACGGTAAGAACAAGGCACGGTTGGAGCGTATGCGTGCCAAGCACACTAGCGTCGAGGCAGCCCGACGTAACATGTCCACACTCGTACCGCAAAAGCTCTCCGAATGAAAGCCGGCCTGCGCCAGGGCACTACCTGATGAATATGCGCTCATGCTGGACGCTGCATCCTCGATAAATTCCAACAACATTGAAATACACGCCTTGCTGTCGCCGAAACCAACGAAGGAATTCTCTCCTTGTGCCAGGTTGGACAGCAAGACAAGAGCAAGTTCACGAGTCACCGGATTGTCTCTCTCGCCAACAAGTCGAACCAACATGGTGTACAATTCGTCCACCCGCGTCAACGGCGGAGTGGAAAGAATGATGTCAACATTAGACTCCAAGATGCTCATCTTCGCCAAGGCCTCAAGAACCAGCTGCCTCGGGGACAGGGAAGTACCTGGAGTAGCTGTGGGCATGGGATCCTGAGCGGCAGCCGACGGACAGATGAACCAGTGGAGAAGCCCGTCCAACAGAGGAAGACTAATGGCCTCAGGATACAGAGACAAGTCCAACTGACCGGCTACATTGGCTGTTATCACCAAAGCGTTCTCACGCAGACCTTCCAAGCAGTACCACCACCAGTCGTGACGATCGTCGCTGGGACACTCCACCTCGATCTCATCCTGCAGATAGGAATGCCTGTAGGGAACACGTTTGGAGTGTTTATGATGAAGAAGTAAAAGCCGCCCAACGATGAGTAACAATCCTGCGTGACGCGACATCTCAGCGTCGTTTCCCGGAACAAAGGAAAGTCCACGTAGAATGTTAGACACACAAAGGCAGCGCCGGGACACGGCGTCCTGGCTCTCAGTTCTTAGGCACAAAGGTGCATCTTCCTTGCCGCACGACTGCTCTTCAACAACTGCATCCTGTTTCACGTTTATTTTACTAACAACTGATCGAATATAAGCGTCCGATTCCGTATCCTCTTCATCAGAATCCAGGTCTAAGTCCAGTTCCTTTTTTAACCGCGCGGTAAACTGTTCTACTTCACTCTCTCTGTTGAACTTATCATTTTCCTGAGTTTTTAATTCCTCCTGTGATGGTTCTTTCTCTTTTTTAACAACAATGTCAGCTTTTGATTTGCCCTCCTCTACCACAGGAGAGGGCAGTTCGGTTTTCAGTTTACTAAAATTCCCATCACATTTCATTTCGTTTGCACAACAATTGTCATCTTTACACTCGGCTAATGATTTCTCGTCGTCACTTTCAGTTTGATTTGTATTCTCGTTCTCAACTTTTACCTCTCCTTCGCAATTCTCATCAGTTTCGGAAAGAATTACATCTTCACTGCACTCAGTTTCTTCTCTGCAATGAATTACCTTTGTCGAGTATTCTGGTCTCGTCTTGAAGCCAAGGTGTGTTTGAATATGACGCGTGGTGTCTCCACCTCCCATGAGCCAGTCGCCGGATCCGCTTTGAAATCCATCGTTTGGAATATCAAACGTGGATGCTACCAACAGAGCGGTAAAACTATTTTTTGCGGCTCTATTTAACTTTTCAATCTTTTCCTCGTTTTCCTCCTTTCGCGCAATTTGTAAAACCACCGAACCAACGCTGATCTCACTCTCGACAAATGTGTCGAAAATGTCAATCAAATAACGTCGGAAATGATCGATAAGGTTATCCAGGAGACCCGGCAGTTGCGATAACATGAAGTATAGCACCGTGTTGTCGTCATAGAGCAGGATGTTAAGGGTATCTAATGCCCAGGTCGCCTCTGATAACAAGCCGGATTTCAATGACATCATTACCCTCCATGCTTCAACAGGGCCTAGGAAAAAAATAAAAGCTTTAACAACAGTTCGAGTCAGCTTACGAACTTAAGGGCCAATCTGGCTGCGGTTTTCCCAGGTTTCCATAGCACAAAGAGACTGATCCCTTTATAACCCTACACGATGAAAGAATTGAGATAGATAGGGGTCTGGCACGAGAACTCAAACACAATGAGAGGACCAATTGAAACTCGCATTTTTGAATCCAGACTCCAAGAAAAGAAAGGATCCCTAACTTAAGAAGCTCTTGATTGTTAAACAAAATTCTCCTTGTCAGCCCCTTAGGAAATGTAGAGAGAACATTTTGGAGAATATGATACTGAAGTTAGAATGTAAAGGATAAACCTTGCTACTCTTTGGTAACCGAACCATGTTGTTGTCAGTTGCTTTCACGGCATACCGTTTTAGCGCTTATAGGGATATGAAATGATCATCATCAAGAACAGAGGCGAGAGAAAAGCATCAATTACTATTTCATTTTAATTAAAACAGTTAAAAAAAACATCAAAAAGTCTCGAAGCAAAACTGATATTTCCCCGGAGTTTTTTTAAGACCTGTTCTTGTGAAAGACAATAACCAAAATAACCAATTGCGGATAGCCAAGACAATATGCTGTGAAAAGTAATAACACCAAGAGTACGGTTAACACTGAAAAGCAGGCTAAACCCTTTAACCAAACATCAGTATGCAGATTCTCCACAATGTTATATTCTAAGGTGCTGACAAGGAGAATTTGTTTAGCAATCATGAGCTTCTTTAGTTGGTAATCATTTCCTTCGTTCTCATTACCTTAATATGAAATTTGAGGATGGTATTTTAAGGAGAAATTAGACGCTAGTCACTCTTAGAGGGTGAAGAACATCAACAGTGACTTGCTCCTCTCCATCTTTTGATGTTTGCGTCAAGTAAGACTAAACAAACATACAAACAAAACAAAAACATACCCAAATCTCTGGAAGTGAGTTTGCGCTTCTTAGTGAACACAGGCCTTGTGGCCTCAACACAGTCGTTTGGAAAAGGCATCTCTCTCTTTATAGATGACGTGTGAGATTGTTGTTGGTGTGACTGCTGTTGTGATGGTGGATGTGCAGTTTGCTGTACAGGAAACTTCATTTTTGGCAAAGCCTGGAGTGGCGGTGCCTGTGCCATGGGCTGTCTTGACGAAGGAGACGGCGAAGGACTGGGGCGATATGGTGGTGTTGCTGAATACTGGTTTTGGCGGCCTGGGTAAGAGCCATATGGCGGTGCAGGGGAGTACTGAGATTGAGGTCCGCTGGAGGAACGCGTAAGTCTGTTGTGTGCCCCAGGTGGGTAATCTACCATGTGCTCTGGCTCTGCTGATGGGCTGTATTGAGAACCCCATAACGAGTGCACCTTATCTTGAGAGCTTGCATTGGGCACCATGGAATGGGGTGATGCCAGAGATCCCATCAATGACGGGCTTGAACGCTGCTGGTACTGCGCATGCTGGTAGTTCGTCCCTGAATGGCCTGCTTGTGAGTTCGACTGCTGATAGAATTGTGACAGGGACGAAGGGCCCTGATACATGTTACGCTGAGACATCATGTAAGGAGGGAGCCCTCCACTTTGAGGGTGATTTGATAAACTGCTCCTTCTCTCTCCACCGTAAGGGTATTGGGGCATTCCAAACGGACTGGAAGGCGTGGGAGGGTTCATTGGAAAACTTCCAGAATTTTCTCTAAATTCTGGG